AGGCAGAACGCACCAACATTCACTTCATCTTTCTTTCAAACTCAAGACGTGCCGCTCGTGAAGTACAGCTGCGGAGAAACTGCGGGGAACAGCGGATCATGGGAAGAAGGCGGCAGTCTCGGACTCTCGCACACATTGACGGGAATGAATTTGCCCGGACACAGAGCCAAGCCCAGGCCCAGACTTGAGAGAGCCTTGTTTCTCTTTCTGAAATTCTTTACCTCCCCTGCCCTCTTTTCTTTTCATACGGCAGTCTTATGCACTTATTGTGTTCCAGTCGCGTTATTGTGGCTGCAGGAAGATCCAGGCTGTTGGCTTTGCAAGTAAATAATAATAAAAGCCAGCTGTGCTTCCAGTTTAACTGCTGAAGCCTTTGGCCCGTTACGATCCAGCGCGCTGCTTATTGCTAACAGCTTACTGTTGGAAAACAATGGTGGTGATGTGGCCCTGCGATTCAGAGTCATGTGGCAAAGACCGTTCTCATGTTTCTTGAACATTATTGGTCGCTTTTTCAATGGCTTATGCCGATATACAGTACCAGCAGTCATGTTTTCACCTTTTCATTTTTTACTAGTACTATCTTCCCCATCTAAGACTAATCAGTCTTCAAACTATGGAGTTCAAATGAAAATTTGGAAATGTAGTTAACTAAATTTTATTTTAGTGGAAATTTTGAACTAAAACTCTTTTATATGAGCTTGTTCTTTGTGTAGCTTCATTAACCATTAGCTGAATTTGATTAATATATAACTGATTTTATTATATTTAAGCATTTCAAATGGTCTTTAAGATAACAAGGGAAAAAAATTCAGACAAATATGTGTATTATTAAAAATTAAAGTATACACACACACACACACACATATATATATATATATATATATATTTAAACATTAAACTATAATTGCATGTATGTGTGTGTGTGTGTGTGTGTGTGTATATATATATAAAACCTTTTTCCAGAAAGACTTATAAACTCCTGACCTTTGACCTAAGGACTTCTTTTGGGTCTCTTTTTCCTGTTCTGTTAATAATTTTTCTGTCAAATTCCCCCTCATTTTGTTGCAGTGGTTGTAAGGAGAAAGTAAGTGGCTGAAAGACATAAAAGAAAACATAAAGTGGAAAGTGTGTGGATGCAGAACTCGGTCTGTGTTTATTTTGGAGGGCTTGCACCGGAGCACCAGGCCTTTGGCGGCTCAGAGGCGCAGGGACGGGTGGCGTGGACCATCCTCGCGTGTCCCGTGAAGGTGCCGAGGGGGTAGAGAGAAAGAGAGCGAGGGGTCCTCGGGCTGGGGCGGGACCGGGCTCTGCGCAGCAGGGAGGACGTGAGCGAAACGTTCCAAGAGGAAACGGTGAGGCCACGCTGTGATTAGTGGTTGCAGTTTAACTGCAGAAAAATGCATGGTCCAAGCCCAGCGAGAGAGGGTGGTTTCACTGGTCTCAGCAAGCCCGTATGACTCAGGGTCTCTGCACTCCTATCAGCCCTGGTGAAAGTTTGTTTGCGTAGCTCTTTTCTGCACAACTGTCTTTAAACAGTGTTTTGTGGCATTTCAAAGCATTAAAAAATGGCTTTTCCAGAACATGTATGTATTTAGCAGAAGCTTTTATGCAAATGAACTTATAACAGAGGAACAAAAGCCATTTGTCAAAGTGCCAACAATATTTATGCCAGGTTTATTAGACCACAGTCTTTCCTACACTATTAAAAATAAAGGTTCCAAAAGGAGTTTTCATAGAAGAACCATTTTTGGTTCCCCAAAGAACCTTTTTGTGAACTGTTCTTAAAAGAACTGTGTTTTTCTTACCTTTTCCACTATAAAGAACCTTTGGTGCATTTAAAAGATTCCATGGGTGTTAAAGGTTCTTCATGGGACCACTGATGCAGAAATAGAACCTTTCTTTTTTAAGAGTGTAGAAGCTGGAATTTTACTGGAATCTCTGATCATTTCAGTGTGGAATTCCACGTCCCAGGACTCTTCCTCCGGTCTTTGTTAAATTCCCAGCCGAACTGACCTCCCCAGGCCCTCCTCCCACCTTTTAGCAAATGCTAAACATTTATTCCAAGTGGATGTCAGCTGTCTCTGTCCTGAAGTAATGCAGAAGACCGGCTGAAATTCCCATCACTGAGACCATCTCATACTCTCAATACTCTCAATTCCATTGCCGAACCCTCCTGAGGTTGTAAATCTAGCCCACGTGGAGGATCACGGGTGTCAGTGCGAAGGCTGAATGCCCTGTATGGGTTGCAGCCTCTAAATACCTTAAGGGTTGTTTAATTGTGGCTTCAAAAAAACCATAAAGCAAATTACTTGGTGCTACTACATATTTAACAACCAACAGAGACACCCAAGAATGCACTTTTGGTGCACAGACTAGCAATTACCAACAGAAAATGGCACAAATAAAAAGTAACAGTTCACTCAAAAAATTAAATTCTGTCATTATTTACTCGTGTCTTTCCAAATCTGTTTTCAGAAGATGTAATCAAGAGTCCTATTCATCGTAATGGCGAAAGTCCAAAAAATGCTCTGAATAGACAGATTTAAGTTTAATCTGATGGACACTCCAAAATAAAGGTTCCAAAAGGTGGTTTTCACAGTGATGCCACAGAAGAACCATTTTGAAGATCCACATTTTTCCAAAGAACCTTTTGTGGAATGGAAAGGTTCCATGTATAAAGGTTCTTTATTGGCATCAATGGTTCCATGAAGAACCTTTAACATCCACAGAAACTTTCCATCCCACAGAAGGTTTTTATAATGGGAAAAGGGTTCTTAAGATTTCTAAAATTCTCCTCACACTAAGAAGAAATGGTTTTCACTGAAACATTCTTTAGGGAACCCAAAATGGCTCTTCTATGGCACGTTTTGGATGGAACCTTTATTTTTAAGAGTGTGGAAGTTAAAAATGAAAATTCTGTCATCATTTACTCACCCTCATGTCATTCCAAACCTGTATGACTTTTGTGGAACACAAAAGAAGATATTTGGAGTCAAAAACCCATTGGACTCGATTGAATTTTATTGTATGCTCTCTTTAAAATAAAGGTTCCAAAAGCAATGATGCCACTGAGGAACCATTTTTGATTTCCCAAAAAAAGCCTTTCAGTGAACAGCTCTTAAAGGAACCATTTCTTTCTTAGTTTGAAGAACATTTTAATAATCCAAAGAGCCTTTTTCTACTATAAAGAACCTTTTGTGGAATGGAAAGGTTCCACTGATGTTCAGGGTTCTTTTTGGAACCATAGATGCCAATAAAGAACTTTTATTTTCAAGAGTGCGAACAAAAAAAGGCTGAAACTTTTTTTGAAATTTCTTCTTTTGTGTTCCACAGAAGAAAGAAAAAGCGTTTGGAACAACTTGAGAATGAGTAAATAATGACTGAAGATTTTCTTGAGAAGATTTTGCATATAGTGCACAAATTTTATGGAGCTTTTTTAGAGTTTTATAGACCCAGTGTTTGATCATGGTGCTGGCGTTGCACTGATTCATTGGGTAAAACTCTCCCAAACATCTTCAAACGCGAACCAAACCAAACACTCCTTTTGGTCTTTTGTCAAATGTGTTTAGGCCTCGCAGCATGCACACATAAGAACATCTCCTAAGCCTTGCGTATTCTCTGTTTGGCCCCACGTTTTGAGTAAAGACCAGGCCGGGGCCCCTCTTTAGTCACTGAGCATTAGAGAGCGTAATGGGCATGAATTCACAGAAGCGCTTCAGGGTGGGTCATATTTGGCAAACCATTCTGAGCATCGAGAGGAACAAGCGGTATATTCACTGGCCAGACCCCTCACAAAAGTACGCCAAAGCCTCGGCGTGCCAAGATCTCAGATTTCTGCAACGTTCAGCTCTGCTTTAGCTTATGGAGCTTCACTTCATATGCGAGCCAGAAGCCTTTCTTTCCAGTACGTCTTTGAGCACATCGTGAAACAGGCGGCCCTATCGCGGAGACGTCGGTTCACACGGCGAAAACACAAGTCGTCGCCAGCACGCACAGCTGGAGGAAAGCATACGGTGAAGTGAGGACTCAGCGGCAATAATATGAGATGTTTGCACAGCGGCATAAGGCAGAAAGCTGTGCACATACACGCACTGCCTTCTGTCTCTTAAAAGGTCTGGATTTCACCAAAGAATGCCATCTGGCCAGTTCGGGTCACTTTAGGGGCACCTCAATACAATTCGAACAGTGATTTCAACAGTGCATGCATTTCTAAACAAAAAAGCACAACATGAAGAGGTCAAATGTCATGCAAACCATTGGACAAACTACACAAGCTTGGGTTTCAATGAAGGCAATCACCTCTATGCTCAGTTAATAAATCAACCCCATGCACAAGCTTTATTCAAGAGCGTTTTTGTCCGAGATGCCCCTCTCGCAGTTGGTTAACTATGTCCTGGCAGGCATCTTCTTTATCAATGGCCCCATGTGTAGCAGCCAATGAGGACGGGCTCCGTTCCAACCCACATCTCAATGTGCTCACAATTAAGCGCAGGGACACTGGAATCGCCTAATTGGATGATGACTGCTTTATGTCCAGGCCTCAACCACTATGGACAATAACAGTAACTTTGCCAGAATGCACCATATTTGCATGCAATATTTCATTTTTTTTGCACATGCACCTTTCCCCATGTGAAGTATTTAATTTGCATCCTGCACCATCTGAAGTATTTCTTGTCTAGAATAAGAAAATGACAACAAACTCATCACATGATGCTAGATTTAACACATGCCTCCAGACATTCTGTCTGCTATTAAAGTGCATTAGTGCAAGCATCGTTTCTCATTCTTTGGAGGCACTGCAGACGTCAACTCCTAAGAAATCACACAGGGCATAAACCGAGAAAACACTCTTGGAAAATAGGTCAGGGTCTTTCTGCTACCGAGTGACCGTGCTCGCTGGACAAAACTAAATATGCATGCTTATACTGGCACGGCAATGCACTGGAGATCAATGATGCAAGGTTGCAGTGCCATCTGAGTTCATTAGACTGGCTTACCTTCTGTAAAACCTCCTGGATGTGTTATGGCCCAGCACTGGTCTCCACCTTAAACTTTCCAGAGGGGATGTTTGCTCCAATTCCCTTGGATTGCAAAATAAGGAGTCAGTTTTTAAGCAAGGCCCGGCAGATTATGCAAAAGGACCTGTAAAACACTGTCACCAGTGGCTGAATAATCTACTGCTGTCTGAGAGCATCAGACTGTTGTCTGGACACGCATGACAGTGTTCGGAAGAGCAGAAAACTCAAGACTTGCGAGGATAAAAAGGCGTCAATCCAGAGTGAATGCGACGGATTTAGTAGTTTATGTCAGTTTCAGGCCATGAGGATATTCTCATGAAGAAGAAACCCGTTAAATGCATGTGTGTGTGTGTGTGTGTCAACACAGTGTCCGTACTGTTATTATCGACTCTGGAATGACTGCTTAAGAACGATGCGCTAAAAAAACAAACAGAAACCGATCGGAGTGATCGTTGTCTTGGCATCAAGGTGCATCGCTTGCTGGCGGCGCTGGTCCAGAGGGGTTTTTAATGGGTGGTCGTGCGCAAACGGCGATGGAGAGGAGACGTCTCCCTTTTCAGCTTCGTGTCCGGATGGTGTCTCCGTGTCGGGTTCGCGATTTCCTCTGGTCGTTTCCAGTCCTGGGGCCTTAATGTTGTCCTTGGATACAGTGTGTGATGAGGTGGGTCTCCAGTACCCCGGACTCGAGCCTGTCCGTGTCTCCTCTCCTCTCCTCGGGCGCAGCGGGCGGAGGGATCAGCCCTGACTGACTGTGACTCTGCCAGCTCAGCGCATGTGTGCTGCTCCGCCCCATCTAGCGCTGAGGAGGCCGTCCTGGGCTCCCGTCCAAACAAACTCCCCTCCCTTCCTCCCTCCAGCGCTCTCAACATTTTTATTGGCATGGTAATAAAGCTTTTTATCGCCGAAGCTTTAATAAACATTACCTCCTTAGACCCTTTCCTCAGATCTATTCATTTTGCTCTAGCTTAATTTCTTTGCGATTATTCATAATAATATAATATATAGTTATATAATATTAATATAGTGTGTAATAAATTGATTAAAATCAATACTTGTAATATGTTTCTTTATTGGTGTATTACATCATGTATAATTATGTTATAGATATGTATCATTTATATCATACATATATTTTGATCATATAAATTAATTAAACGTAATTAAATATTTTAATTATAATTATAGTTTATATTTATATATATTCATTTCTACAATTATTTAAAAAATATATAGATTTATATATTATAATGCATATAATATTACATTTGTATAATAATACTGATACTCATATTGAAAATGTATATGAAAATAAAAATTCTAAATGCCAAAACATAGGTTCCACGGATGTTAAGGGTTCTTTTTGGAACCATATGCCAATAAAGAACTTTTATTTTTAAGAGTGTGAACCAAAAAAAGGCTGAAACTTTTTTTGAAATGTCTTCTTTTGTGTTCCACAGAAGAAAGAAAAAGCGTTTTGGAACAACTTGAGAATGAGTAAATAATGACCGAAGATTTTCTTGAGAAGATTTTGCATATAGTGCACAAGTGCTTTTTTGGAGTTTTATAGACCCAGTGTTTGATCATGGTGCTGGCGTTGCACTGATTCATGGGTAAAACTCTCCCAAACATCTTCAAACGCGAACCAAACCAAAGTACAAACAAAGTACATTGAAAAAATGTTATGTCATTTTGTCAGCTATCTAAAAAGTTCTTCATTGTAATATCTAAATTAACTGGTTTTATTGAAGTGAAGAAATTTGATTGAATCAATCTGAATACAATAGTAGTCAATAGTAAAATAAAATAAATAAAATAATATAAAAAACGAAAAAATATTTTTAAAAAAGCAATTTTACACTCAGGAAACACTTGCTGAGGTTTCATCTTGCAGGTAAATATGAGTTTTTGCTTGATTTCATCTGAAAGTTTTTGTGGTGGCTGGTGAACGGACCTTTATTTAAGTAATTAAGCCATGAGGTGAGCACTATATCATAACAAGGATTTAATTTGCCATATTTGTATACATTTTGTTGAGCTGATCTGTATTTATGATCTTCAGTTTCCAGGCTCATTAAAGTTTGATTTTACTAATAGTCTTAATAGGCCTTCACAGAATAACATAACATCATATTCTCTCACACCCTAATGGTTTACTTTATTTTACCCTAATTATTTTTTAAATATTTTACATTTCCTTTTGTAATATATCTCCTCTAATCAGCAAAATCTCAGAGGCAGTTTAGATTGTAGTAGAGCTGAACTGGGTGACCACTAGATGGCAGCTGCCCAAAGCAGCACAGCTACTCAGCATGAGGACAAAAAGAAAAATAAAATAAAATAAGATTATGTATCTCTGTACATATGCGAGTTGTTCATTTTAAGTTTATATTGGTGACAAAGAGAAGATACTGTTTCTGTGGAATCAGACAGACGGAGAAATAGACTAAAAGCAAAACAAATATGTGACCCTGCACCACAAAACCAGTCATAAGGGTTCATTTTTCGAAATTGAGATTAGGCTGAATAAATAAGCTTTCCATTGATGTATGGTTTGTTAGGATAGGACAATATTTGGCCGAGATACAACTATTTGAAAATCTGGAATCTGAGGGTGCAAAAAAATCTAAATATTGAGAAAATCGCATTTAAAGTTGTCCAAATGAAGGTCTTAGCAATGTATATTACTAATCAAAAATAAAGTTTTGATATATTTACAGTAGGAAATTTACAAAATATCTTTATGGAACATGATCTTTACTTAAAATCCTGATGATTTTTGGCATAAAAGAAAAATCTATAATTTTGACCCATACAATGTATTGTTGGCTATTGCTACAAATATACCCCAGTGACTTAAGACTGGTTTTGTGCTCCAGGGTCACATATGAACAAATTTCTATTATAGTTGAGCATATGAGGTAGGCTAATAAAAACCTGTAATAAAAGATCTAATTTTGCAGTGACTGTAATCATTATTTTAAGTATGACTATTAACCTCTGCATTAGCAACCGTTTTGATGTATTAAATGATAATTTATTGCATTTTTTTATTCAGATAAAGCTTAACCAATTTCTAGGCTATCATTTAATATATTTAATATGATTTATTCTATTGAATAGATTTATTATTATTTAAATTGGACGCTTATGCACTTATTTATATCATAAGACGTATGCCTTTCTCCTTTATAGCCTATTCATTTATTACCAACTGCTAGGGGGTTCAGCGGGTTTCCGTGCAGATTTATGCAGAATTATTCCCAAAACAATCCCAACCTTAAATATATATATAATAACCTTGTAATATTAAAGAGTGAATTTTACTTAGGCTGCAACTAGAATTTGTAACAAAATCATTCATATTAATAATATTTTATTAGAAAATTATATAAAAATATAATTTGTATAATTCTATTATGATACCAAATATTATTTCACTATATTATGTATAAAATACTGTATAATTTTGTATATTTTTTAAATATAAAACACATTAAAAGTGGACATATGAATTCCTTTAAGTTCAAATGTATTTGTATAGCGCCTTTAACAATGCATGTTTCAAAGCAGCTTCACATAAACATGCAGAACTTGTAACAGATGAAATATGGAAACTGTGTCGTTTCCTCCATAAGTTTGTGTTCATATATCACAGCCTGCACGCTCCTTCACGATCTCGCCCTCAGCGTGTGTTGAGTCACAGTAAAACACATTTCCGGGTTCTTCATGACCGCTCCCATTTTGTCTGTGTGTGTGATTTGTGCTTCGAGCATGCGATTAGGTAACTCCTGTTCCTCCTCCTACAACTACAACTTTCATGCACCCAAAATGGTGTGTGAATGTCAGCCCTCTCTCTTGTCTTCTCTTATCCGCTGGTTGGTGGTGTTGTGTTGTAAAGCCCTGCCAGCATGATCAGCTGATCCCGCATGTTTCACCCTCCAGTCAAAGAAAAAGAACCTATTTACATTCACCAAGCGACATAACAGACCTAGAGCGATATTATCATTCATTATGAGTTGCATCGCGCATTGATTTTTTAACGTGTTTGCATTTACATTCGCTTTAAAATGAAACGCGCCCGTACTAATTAAATAATCTATTTAAACAGATCCAGACAGAAGATTTTAAGATATGCATTGCTCTGTGCGCCGATATTTTACATGATTATTGCTTTTTTTTTTTTAATCAATCAATAAAAGCTAGCTTATAAAAAAAATATAACCGGCATCATTTTAACAGATCAGTAATTCTGTAACAAAAGGAATAAATAAAAGCTATAGCTTACGAAAAATGTTAGTTGTTTACATGCACTGATCGTTTTAACAGATATTGATCAATATTTTTATATTAATATGCAACACATAGATTCATATTTTAATATGCGTGCATTGATTTCTATTTAGGTTCATGCTTTAAAACTTATTTAATGTCAAAAATAAAAATTAAAAAAGCTTGCACTGACCATATCAGCTCTAGATCACTATTTTAAGGCATGCATAAGGCTTTAATTTATATTTAGGTTCATGAACCAACAATATATTGACGTGCAATATATAGAAACACTATATTTAACGCATACAATGCATTTATGCACAGAATGTTCTTGCACACGAGGCGGATATTTAAATGCATTTAAATGCATCCATTACAAGAGCCTTTTTGGCATGCAATCAGCATGAAACTGTTTTCAGGAGAACATGGTCGCTGTTGCAATACTCCTTTGTTTACATGCAAGTCCTCCTGTTCGGCGGAAGGAGGCTTTTTGGTAGTGCAGTGCTGTGTGATTCCTACCAGCTGTTTCCCGCCTTGAAAGACATCCGATCAGCTGCAAACACACACATGCAGAAGGAGGGAGGGAAAGAGAGCGAGCGAGCACCACACACACACACACACTACGAGGGAACCCCATCAGCTGGAAGAGTAGAGTAACCTTACAACTCAACACTCATCTTACGCGCTCATGCCCCAAATCAGCAGGACACGCACAGCTCTGCTTCTTGAATGAGAAAGAGACACGAAGAAGCTGTTTTGTTTTTAAACCGATAAAGTACAAGAAGGATCGAGGAGCCAGAGCTGGAGAGAAGCATGGAGTATTTCATGGTACCAGCTCAGAAGGTGCCCTCCTTGCAACATTTCAGGAAAACCGAGAAAGAAGTCATAGGGGGCTTGTGCAGGTACGTGAGAGCCTCTTTTAATAAATGCGCACATATATGTGCGCGTTTCTTTAATAGCGCGCCAACAGCAGCTGCGCTACTACGAGAGTAACATGCATGCATGATTTCTGTGTTATTGTGTACATGCGCTTATCTAGTGGCTTAAGACGGGACGGAACCCATGCGAGACTCGGTTTTCTACATTTAAAACATCTCGCGGGGGTCTATGGAAGCCCCTTGGCTTGTCAGGTCAGTGTTACCTATGAAATATCTTGGCGAAATCAATGCATTTTGTGTCTAACAAACACAAACCACGTGGTTGCATGCACGCACACCACGTTGTTGGTCTCGCGCGTGTATTTAATATCACAAACCGCGCTTATTGCGTCTCACCAGTGAATTTGTCCTCTTATAGAGGGGTTTGTGGATTAAAAGTGCGTCTGGGCGCGAGTTCGCGTGTTTTTGGGGCTTAAGTTATCGTGGGCAATGCGGCCATGCTTGTGGCTCGTGCATTTGGCGTCGTCTGTTTCTCATTGCTATCAAATATTAAAAGTCTCCAGACTGCCATTGCACACGAGTATCCCCCACATACGAGGCTGAAATGGACGTTGAGCGCGAGAAATCTCGCCGTGCGTGCGGCGGGAGAGAGATCAGATGATATTTGGACTGCGTCGCTGCTGCCGCATGGACGGAGGAAGCGCATTGTTGTAATGGCGGACCGTATCAT